TGGATGGATGGATGGATGGCTGCGTTCTCTTTCATCTCTATATTCTTTCCCTCCAAAGACAACCATCCAAGTGTATTTAGTGTGTGTGTCTTTTGATTTCCTGTGTGTTCTTACAACATTGGTGGTGGTGTCTCATGAGCATAAAATTTTACTTAAATGGTGTCATGTTATGTATTTCACTTTGTTTCACCAAGCACCATTTTTTAAAATATTTTTTAATTGAAGTATAATCAGTTTACAATGTTGTGTCAATTTCTGGTGTACAGCACAATGCTTCAGTCAGATAGGAACATACATGTATTCATTTTCATATTCTTTTTCACCATAAGTTACTACAAGATATTGAATATAGTTCCCTGTGCTATACAGTATAGACTTGTTTATTTTAGATATAGTAGTTAGTATCTGCAAATCTTGAAATTTATCCTATCCCACCCCCTTCCCCCCTGGTAACCATAAGTTTGTTTTCTATGCCTGTGAGTCTGTTTCTGTTTTGTAAATAAGTTTGTCCTTTTTTTTTAGATTCCACATATAAGTGATATCATATGGTATTTTTCTTTTTCTGGCTTATTTCACTTAGAATGACATTCTCCAGGTCCATCCATGTTGCTGAAAATGGCATTATTTTATTATTTTTTATGGCTCAGTAGTACGAGCACCATTTTCAAGTTCCATCCATCTTGATCTGTTAATCTGTTGCTCCTACAGTACAGTACAGATGGGACACATCCAACACACATTAGGGTGACCAGTCGTCCTAGGACTTGCCTGGGACTTATGGCGTTCCTGGGACAAACTTTCAGGACTAAAAGCAGAAAAGTCATGGTCAAACCAGGGTGAGTTGGTCACTTTATCTACCAGCCCTGCGCACTCCCCTTCCCCCACACAAGGAACTCCTAGCTTGCCTCAACTCCCCACCACCAGACATGCAATGGCTATTCCTATGCTCGTCTCCTTCGGACCTGGGTGAGCATTTCTCTGGGATATACACCAGGGCCAGGAATTGCTAGCTCACAGGCCATGCATACACTTGATCTGACTGGGACGGTCACGGTTGACACTTCACTAGCGGTGTCTGTTCCCACATTTTCTTGTACACCTAGTGTTATCCAACTTTATGATTTTTTTCATCAGTCTAACAGTGATATCTCATTTTTGTTTTAAAGATACATTTAAAGATTCTTCTTTTGTGAACTGTCTGCCCATATTCTTGGCCCTTTTTCCCTTGTATGTTCTAGATACCCACTCCTTGTTGTTTTTAGATATTGAAATGTCCTCTCCCAGTCTGCCATCTGTCTATTAATTTTGTCCTGATGCGCCTCATTGACTAGAAATTCTTAATTCTGGTGTGTTTTCAAGTTTTCTTGAAGAAGTCTTTACAATCTTCTAGGTTACAAATATATTTTCGTGCATTTCTGGTTTTATAGTTGTACCTTTTACCTTGTATGTGGTTTTAGACAGGGGTCTATTTTTATTTTTCTCCATATAGGGAGCCACTTTTCCGAACATCAACTTGCTAAGCAGTCAATCATCTTCTCTACATTTATTGTATATTAAGGTCTATGTCTGAGCCTTCTAGTCTATTCCTTCAGTCCATCTGTCTGTCCTTGAACTTTACTACACTGTGTTAATTAATATGGCTTTTTAAAAATGTCTTAATATCTGATGAGGCAAGATCTTTACCCTCCTTTTTTTCTGTTTTTATTTGGGGGGGGGCGGTTGGTAATTAGGTTTATTTATTTATTTATAATGGAGGTACTGGGGACTGAACCCAGGATCTTGTGCATGCTAAGCACGTGCTCTACCATTGAGCTATACCCTCCCCCTCTTCTTTTTTAAAGTTGACTTATTTGTGGATCTTTATCTTCCAGATAAATTTTAAAGTAATTTTATAAAGTCCTTCCAAAAACCAAATGGAATTTTGATTAAATTTTATTGAATTTAAAAATTAACTTAGGAAGACATCATTTTTAATAACATTAAATCATCTATTTCATCTTTTACTAGGACTCTTAAGTTCTCTACAAAGAAGTCTTATGTATTCCTGATTCCTTCCTAGATGCTTTAGGGTTTGTTATCATGAATGGTATCTTATTACATTTTACAGTTGACTGTTGCTGGCATAGAGAAATGCTTTCCTTTCCTTTTTAAGTCCCTCTTCTATCTGGCGAACTTGCTGAACTCTCATTCATTTTAATTGTCTATTGATTCTGTGTTTCTATGTATATGATAATATTATCTACAAAAAGAAGTGTTTTATCTCTTCCTTTCCAATCCCACCTCCCCACTTCAATATCTTTCCACAGAGCAATGGCTGTGATCTCTTGTTCTATGTTAAACAGTAATGTTGATGGTGGGCATCCTTTCCGTGTTCTCCACGTTAAAGAGAATAAACGCATCTAAAGTTTTGTCATCAAATATAATTGTTGAAATAGGATCTTATCATATAATCTTGTTTACTAGTTTACTAAGGGTTTTTATTATAAAATGTTGTTGAACTTCATCAAAAATATTTTTGCACCGATTGAGACAATCATGATTTATCCCTTTAGAATATTTCATAATGTATTATTTTTAGTACATGGGTAGATTCAATTAGCAAATATTTTTATTTAGGATTTCTGCAGCTATGTTAATAAAATTTTCGTAATTCAATAATACATAAAAATTTCTGGAACAACACAGATAAGATAGAAATTTACTTTTCCCTGACATTTTGGAAGAATCAAATATAAAAACATTAAAGTCTAGACAGTTTGGGGAGAGGAGCTCTTTGACTCCCTTTTCACTTTATGTCTTCTTGCACCAATTTTGGATTTTTATATTTTTCTAGGCATTCTCACATTTTATCTAGGTTTTCAAATTCATTAGCACATATTTGATCATAATGTTTTAAAATCTTTTTTGTGTCTATAACTATTTCCCCCTGTTTATTCCATATATCATTTACTTGTGTTTTCTCTCTATATTTCTAGGTCAGTCTTGCTAAAGATTTTTTTTTAATCTTGTTAATCTTTGTGAAGAAACAGCTTTTGGCTTCATTAATCTCCCCTACTTTTGTTCTCCATTTCATTGATTTCTGTCCTTTTCTTAATTATTTTCCTTCCGTCTATTTTATTCTGCTCTGTGACTCTTTTTCTAACTTCTTGTGTTGAGCACTGAACTCATTATTGTTAACTTTTTTGTTTCTTAATAATGTATTTGAAGCTATAAATTTTGCTCTATATATGGTTTTAAGTGTATCCTATAAAAATTTATGTATAACGTTTTCATTATTATTCAGTTTTAAATACTTCCTACATTCCTTTATGGTTTTCCTGTAAACTCAAAAGTTATACAATAATACTTTCTTTAGTTTCCAAATAGATATGAC